GTGCTAAAAAATTTAGCAAGAAGCCCCCTATGTTGCATTTTTCAAAGCAACCCGGTCCTTGTTTCGAAATTTAGTATTGACTTGTGTGAAATGACCAAATTACCCTTACAAAAGAAATATTAAAAAATAACTAAAAAGGAACAAAAAGAATTTTAGAGGGTATTTTTGAGTTTTCAAGTCAAAGAACACACTTGTACTCTCATAATCCGCGCGTGCATTACGCAATAAGTTGTTAGGGGGTCTTTTTCGCTTTGACTATTTTTCACATGGGGTTCTTTCTATTTTTTTTAACACAAGGGTCTTTTTAGCAATTAGTGATTATATATGGGTAGTTTTTGCAAAAAAAAAAAAAACACCATTTAAAAATAGAACAAAAACACTTCAAAGCAATGCGATCAAAACAAACCAACTTTGATCAATTCACCAACCCAAGAATTTCTGGAAAACGCGAGTTTAGAAATTAGATCTTACACAAAATCAAAGCAAAAATGTTCACCCTTGAACATACGTGTGTCAAAAAAAGTATTTGTTACTAAAAAACACAAACATAAGTAAATGAGATATTTGCAGAATTCAAAAGGAAGATCCGAGAAAATGGTATTATCCGAAGAAGAGGAGGTGAGAGATGCTCAATCGTCAGCCAGAAGATAAGTGAAAGATGGAGATGAACGCATGAATGAAGGAATCGTTAAGTTAATCAATAATTAGGTTATTATTTTATGATAATTATTGTTTTGTTATTAAGCTAAGTTATTTGGGATTATTTGACAAAACCCCCTCATTTGCATTGTACAATTAAGATGAGTTCATATTTTTTTTCTCTCTTTTTAAGAAAAATCGAAAATATTTTTAATCACCATAAAATAATACAATGTTATTATTTTAATACAATTATATCCTTCACCATATATTCCACGATCTCTTCTCTTTCTCGCTTCTCTCTTCACCGCCCAACTTTTATCTCTTTTGTTTTCTCTCTTCGTCTTCTCCGTTTCTTCTCCATCGCCTTCGCCTCCACCGCTGCAATTTTCAGATTGATTTGGCCGTACAAGACGATATCCACAACTCATAGATCCCTTTCTTATCTCTCGTCAAACCAAAACCGTCACGATGGGCTTAAATCCCAACAATTTCAGCCTTCTCTCAATGTTACACAACTTAATAAAAATGTAACAGTTATTAGACTTTTTTGGTTAATTATTATCAATTTGTTCTTTTGTTTTGGTTTATGTATTTGGTCTAATTAGTCATAGGATGTTGGATCTGGATTTGTTTATTTTATTTTGAGAAGGGATATGATGAATTTGATTTCTGTTTTATTGTTTGATTGTTTAAATAATGTATATAATTATTTATTTAATTTTTTTACAGCTGAAGTTAAATTGGAAATAAAATGAATACATAATAAATAACAACATTGGAAAAACAGCACATTAATTGGCAATTGAGAAATAATGGACTTTCTTGTTCATTTTTTTATTGTTTTTTCGGAACCTTTCAACTTTTAGTTGAATAATTTATTTTCTTCGATAATTGAGAATGTTCATATGAAACTTAGAATTATGTTCTTCAATTCTAGTATAATTCTTTTTCTTCAATTTGGACAGAAGGCACAGACTGCTTGTGTATGAATACACAGACAACTTTTCTTTGAAAAAGTAAAACATAAATTGTACATGTTTGTTATTGTTCTTATGTTGTGTTGTGTAGTGGTCTACATTAATTTCATAGTGGATTTCGATAAATTTATTTTTGGATTTCGATAAGTATACATAGTGGTTTTCGATAAATTTATAGTGAATTTCGATAAGTATAGAGAGTGGTTTTCATGTTTATATAGTTGTTTATACAAAGTGGTTTTCATTGTTGTTCCCTCATACATTTTTCGTTTCAACGTATTTATGCAATACTAGTAGGTTGGAAAGAATTTGTTTATGAAAGCTTCCCAGATTTTGTCCCCACCAACGATGGTTTGACACCAAGGTTTTACTTTTGAAAATTGGTTTTCATTTGCTATTTTTTTTTTCTTCTTCAGATTGATTTGGTGTACTGGTCTTGCACTTTTTCTTGGACATAGTTGTGGTTTACGTTTCAAATAGTGAATTTCAAACAGTGAATTTACTTCTTTTTGTTTTTTGTTATTTTTTTGAGTTGTGTTAATAGTGGATAACGTATATTTTCAGTGGATTTCAATAAGTTTGTTGTGGATTATATTAATATTAAAGTGGATTGTGTTAATTGTACAATGAATTTTACAGTAATTTTACATTAGTTTTCGATAAAGTTGTAGTAGTTTCCGATGAGTAAATAGTGAATTTTAATTTTTGTAACCCTTGTGGAACAAAAATTTAAAAAAAACAAAAAATTAAAAAAAAACTGGGGGTTAAAAATCATATTTTTTTGAACCTGGTGGAAAAAAATTGAAATAAAATAAAAGCATTTTTTTTGTTTTAAGATTGTAATATAAAAAATCAAAGAGTCGAAATTACATCAAAAAATCGAAGCCCAACCCTTCTTCAAGCTTGATTTCGAATTTTTGAATTTTTGTTTTTTTTTTTTGCTATTTGCAGTTTTGGGGGGTTTTTGGATATTTTTAAAAGTTTTGGGGGGTTTTGTTATAAACCGCAAATAGCAATTTTGTGACTGTAAATAGCATTTCATTAGATTTATTAGGGGTTATTTTGGAGAGAGGGTATGATAGGGGCATTTCGGTTAATTTGAGTCAAATGTACTTATGTCAAATATCAATTAATAAATGGGCTATATGACAAACACACCCATTGAAATTTTACTTCTTAATAAATCTTTTATTTGTAAATGATATTTGACATAAATTCAATGGGCCTGAAAAACCACATATGCCCCCCCACTAATTATTAATTGATATAATTTATTCAGATTAAAAAAAATTATATTCATCATCTACACCCAAATCTTCTCCAAAAATTATATTCTCAAATCACGCTTCAAATTTATGCCCACAATAATGGTCTCAAATCAATTCTAAAAATCTCATTTTCATTTATTTTCTTATTTTCGATTTCTTCATAAGAAAATTTTGATTTTGTTTTTTTACTTCTTATACTTCTGTTTTTCAAAGTTAAATTTTAAAAAAAATAAAAAAATTAACAAATTGAAATCCACTATAAACTTACCAAAAACCACTATGTGATTATAGTATTGGGTTACGAAAATCCATTATAGACTTATCGAAAATTTCTATGTACTTAACAAAAACCACTCTATAATTAATGCAAACCACACATTAAATTAACGAAAATAACTATTTAATTAGCCAATTCCATTACAAAAATTCAGTAAAAATTTATCAATTAACAAAACCGCTCTATAATTAATGAAAAACACTAAAAACATATGTAATCCACTAAAATCATATGTAATCCACTACTAACACAATTCAAAAAATAACAAACATAAAAAATGTAAATTCACTATTCGAAAATCCACTATTTGAAATGTAAAACACTACTATGGCCGGCAAAAAAAGTGCGAGACCCGTACACCACCACCAGCAAGGCCGAAGAGGACTAAATCAATCTGAACAAGAAAAAAATTAATTAGCACATGAAAACCAATTTCAAAAAGCAAATCTTGGTATCGCACCATCGTTAGTGGGAACAAAATCTGGGAAGTTTTCATAAGCAATTCTTTCCAACCTACTAATATTGCATAAACCTGTTGAAACGAAAAATGAATTAGGGAATAACGATGAAAACTACTCTGTATAAACTGAAAACCACTATGCATAAACAACTATATAACATGAAAATCAATATTTATATTTATCGAAATTCACTATAAATTTATCGAAAATGACTCTGTATACTTATCGAAATCCACTATAAATATATCGAAATCCGATGTAAAATTAACGATGTCCACTATACAATACAACATAAGAACAATAACAAGCATATAAGATTTAATCCAAAAAAAATATAATAGAAAGTCCGATTCTAAAAAGTGCTACTGCAAAAGAAAAGATTAATATTGGCAACTATGATAAAGAATTAGAATTGGTGTCTCTTCAATTTGGAACAATGAATTACTAATGAAGAGATGAAGAAGAGATTAATATAATTAATTTTTATTTATATTCATGTTTTCTCCCTACTTCTCCCAATCATTATAAACGCATAACAAAAAAATATTCTGGAATCAACTTACCTTTGTGGCGAAAAAATGAAGTCGGCGATCTACATACCTCCTTCGGCGAATCACGCCACTAAACATTGAGAACGACGAAGGGATGCACAGATCCTCATACCCGAGGATGAGGAGGTCGGTGAGAGAAGAGAAAAGAGAGAGACAACTACGGATTAGGAGAGTTTAATTAGGTTAAAAAAATTGAGAAAAGGCAATTGGATTTATCTAAAAAAGGGAGAGGAAAAAAGATCTAGTTTAGTGATACAATGCATATGAGGGAGTTTTCCCAAATAATCCCATTAATAAAATGGATTCATTATGAAGTCAAAATTCAATGAGGAGAGTTTGTCAAATAGCCCCAAATTATTAGTTATTAATTTGTAATTAAGTTTTAGTTTTAAGGATTCTGTATGTAATTTTACTTCGTAGGTATCGTACAATTTTTTCCTGGGTTCGTATTAATCTTATGTGGCACAATTTCATTGGTAGACTACGGACTGTTATGTTACCTATAGAAGGTACTACTTATGATATCAATCACATTAGTATTAAATATCTTAATGATAGACACTAATCTTACTTGGTTGATAACGTGGTCGAACCTCAATAAATTAATAACTTCGCTTAAATAATATTTTTTTCCAGTCTCGACTTGATAAAAATGCATTAAACTATTAGTTCGATAAGTTAATATTTCGCTAAATTAATAGAATTTTGCTAATCTTGACTGTATTAATTTATAGAGATTTAACTGCAGTACTGATCGTAACAAGCTCCATCCGTTATGGATAAAGGGCTGCTGAAAGATATCGACTAATCTGAAACAATTAAACAGAAAAAGATAAAAAAACTAATGATAGTTATTGATTGTAACAAGTACCACAATATCAACATTTACCTCATCATTTATGCATAGCAGTAAACTGGAAGCATTAGCTAGACTAGAGTAGAATGTGTTCAAATAAAATGAAAACTCGACCTACAAATCTTCAATCTCCTCGATGGAAGAAAATTGTGCATCAACTCGACATACAACTTCTTGATCAATTTTAACCGGACTAACCCACTTGGGTAGTACTCGTGTTGAAGCATCCGATTTTAGATCGTTTTCATCTAACAGTACAGGAAAATCTTGTACAGATTCCGTCTGGCTCGTCTTATTATTCCATTTAAAAATCTCCGACGCCAACTCACAACATTCTTTCAGGTCTTCTTCATTCCGTGCTTTGTTCAATTTTTCACCAAGATCACTTAAAGCCATAACCCTCTCACCCTTCGAACACTTGATCTTCTTAGCCCTCGTCCCCCTTCCTCCTTCTAAATCACTGAGTTCATCACCACCGTCGATTGACTCTACCTTCTTCCTCAACCCTTGATCTACAATGTATCGAATCCTCTTTCTCAAATTATCACTTCTTACTGGATCTGATTTGAGATTTAACTTCAACCCTTGTACCATTGCCTCGGTCGAGCTCCCTACAGAAGACTGCTCCTTATCCTGAATCGAGGAGTCATCGGGTGCTGAATTGACACGAAAAACCTCTTCAAGTAGACTAACATTTTGCATGTATCGGTCAAAAGCTCCACTTTCTGCTTCTGCGTTTCCGTCTCTAAATTCTTTTAGTTTCAAGAACCTCCATTCGTTTATAACTTGTGCATCCTGATAAAGTACACAAATAAGGAAGATTTTTTAGGCTGTTGACTTGGATAAATTCGTGGTACTAGTAGTAGTATATTTCATGTATCTTTACCTTTTTGGTCAACGGCTTCCTTGATCGGAATGGTGTTTGTAAATTATTAAACTGTGCAAAGTTGTTGGAAAGGTGACGAAGTCTATGCATACTCCTGTAAAATAATTGCTATATATCAAAAAGTGCAATAACAAACAATGAATAATATACAGGTGTTGCTTAACTTTGAACTGAAGCAGTTCATAAACATGTCAAACAAATCCTAAAGAAAGAAACAATTAGATAATTTGACTGCGACGATTAAAGAACTGCCACTAAGTAGATTAGGTTTGTAGGAACAGAAAATGCATGATAAAACACTGAATCGACATCATTCCTCCCTTGTAGAAGCACTTAAGTAATATGATCATGGAAAATCTATAATATTTTCTACCATCTGAAGATAGATGCAATGCAGGGATTGGACAGTGTAGTCAGCAATCACTATATGTAAAAACAAGGGTTGCAGAGAAACATTCGATTCAATGTACAAGAACTTTTCTTGGTGCCACAGATGGGAAAACATAAACGCTAATGCAACAGATGAACTTGGAGCACGCAGACATGTGGTTTCCGGTACAAAGATTTACATAACTGAGGGGACTAACTGGTTTTGCAACTTACCCTGAATGAGATACATCAGTTGATTGTTGGTCAAATTGAGGAGAGCTGGAAGAGGGTGGCTTGTCTGGAAAGGATGCGTTGCCTTTTTTTACTGCAGCAAACCACAATTATAGAATGTAATTTTGACTGAAATTGTATAATTCATCGAGAAACACAATATTTATCCCACATTTGAAAAGTGCTGTTGCATGAAGAGTTATGCAGATTATTAAAATACAGGGGTCCTGTTTGAGATATTAATCTACACAGGTTCTGTCGTCAGTAAACTTTGAGGAAGTTCAGAGAGTCACTAAAATATGCTACTCTAAGATGGGATTCCCCTTGTATAAGCCCATTCAAGATTAATTTCACGAAACAAATGATTTATATCCAGCCTCCATTATTGTAGACACTACTCAATATCATACGTTATAATATTTGAGAGAGAGAGAGAGAGACTCAGTAAATCAAAGTTAGGGCTTAGTAAGAAACTGAAACTCTAGACACTAGTTATCCTCTTCCTCTTAAACATAAAAAAGTGTGCATATCAAACATATTGGGAATATTTGGATCCTTTAAGTAGTTATTTTCTACAAACATGAAATCAAATAGTAATATTTATTCAAATCCCATCTCATTTTCTTTTCTTCGGTGCAAACTCGGCTAACCTTACATTTTCTCCTTTTGTTGTCACCAAAAAAGTCAAATTCCCCTATTATTCATATGAATGTGAACAATGGAGAAATATTCTTACATTGTTTGGAAAAACCAAGGTGATTTTTAGTTTGGTACCGGAAGCACTTCAGTTTGGTACAGCAATATAGATTACCACATCTACAAGACATTTAGAGTTTTAAGCTTTAACGTCTAGAGTCTAAATGTCAACAAAGGATATAACTACAAACGGTGCACAAGAATTTTGACACGTTCTAAAATAGTACCATATTATTGTTCAGAACTATGACAAAATAAAAGTTCCATGCTATATACGTTATCAGATGCTTCCAAATGAATCCTACTCAAAGGATCTTATTCATTAGGATTATAAACAAAGTGGAATGACGTACCGTGTATATGACAAGGATTTTGAGCTTTTGCACAGCAGTTTTTGCATGACTGGAATGGACACCTGCATAGTTCAAATTATCAACGGATGAAAACTTGGATAAATAGTCTGCACTGGCTTTATATATATCAAGCACATCAAGGATAATAAGACATATGAAATGGTCAAGGAATTTTAATATCTGAAATCAAGTAGTGATATGCAGCATCAGTGTAAAACTGGCGACTGTGTGCATCTGATTATTACCGAAATCTTTTAAAAAGAGAAAACAACAACCAGATAATGCTCATTGTCCACTTTTGACCTAGTTGTATTATTCTTGTGACTTTC